CTGCAAGTCCCCCAAATGTACTGGCAATGAATTGGCCATAAATAATGCGCAATCATTTTGGAATACTTTTTATTAACAATTAGAAAAATATTTATAAAGAAATAAAGGATACTTATATACATTTTTATTATACAATGAAAATCAGAGAACTGTTTCGAGAATTACGTTGTTTATATTGTATTGAGTATATTTTTAGAAGTTGTGTTTTAAGGCACTATAAAACTCCCTGTAACTAGTTCACCAGACACTCAGCTGCCGAAAACTCGGTAAAATTTCATAAAATGTGTCACAACTATATACAAAATATAATTTAGGCCGTTCTAAAATCGGATCACATTACTAAAATCTCTAACATTCTAAAATATAAAAAATATATTACAATATTTTACATAAGAACCCGACGGACTAAAAACCTTCGATAAATACGTAAAAATGAGGCACGTTTGGCAGTATTACTAACTACGATTGGAGATAAATATTCGGCGAAAATTACAGAAATGTGAGTATTTGGTTATTGCATTTTGACTCTTTGGTTGTACCTCTCCGAAAAAATCTAAAAAACTATCACATTTATGTAATTCCATAAAATTCCCAAAGTCTTATCAGACTAATTAAACTTAGTCAGTCTTGCGATAATCGATTGTGTGATACACAGCCATAGCACACTTCAGTCAGTGTTAAAGCAGAAGACTTTCCAGATTTCGATGCAAAATAATCTCTTTTACGTATTCAAAAACGACTTTGATATTCTCCGTATCAACAGCTGTTGTAAAATGGTGATAAAGAACCTTCCGCGACTCCCTCTTCACCCCCGTGAACATCGCCAGGATGAACTCCTTCACGTCGTTGATCGAATGGGGGTTCCCCGCGAATTGGGGGAAATACCAGTGGATGTTCGTCTCGGGATTGGCCACTTTTTTCAGCAACAAATCGTACTTGTTCAAAAAGAGGATAACGGAGACGTTTACGAATATCCGATTGTTGACTATCGTGTCGAAAATATCCCTCGACTCCTCCAATCGGTTCGTTTTCCTGTCCTCGAGCAGCACTTGGTCGAATTCGGACGACGATACGAGGAAGAGTATCGAAGTCACCGAATCGAAACACTGAAACCACTTTTGTCTCTGCGATCTTTGACCGCCGACATCGACGAACAAAAACGGAATATTGTTTATCGGAATCGCAAATTCGGTGATTCCCTTGGTGGCCTTGCGGCAGTGGAGGATGTCCTTGTGATTGGGGATGTAGTCGTGGCGGGAGACCCGGTCCAAATTGTTCAGGAAATATTCCACAGAGTCACTCTGCAAAAACGAGATAACATTTATTTACGCAAAATTACTACTAATTAAAAACATCTGCGCGGTTATCGGCGACCTCCAAGAGGTGTAAAATCGACAGAAATTTTACATTTATTACGCGATTCCGAGAAATTAATTGCTGCAATAAAAATTATCAAAGACGAATTAATTATTATCATCGTGTATTATTTTAATTAATCGACTCCTCAAACAAAGCATGCAAAAACACATGTTGGTATTTGACAAATATTAGGAAATTTTGGGGAAATAAATCAGCAACGCACGTCACTAATTTCTGAAATTTTACTTTGAGACCAGATGTGTTTAATTTGGACGTTCAGGTCATAGATAAAATGACCCCGAAACTAATAAATTTTATGAAACTAATAAAATATATGAAAATAAAACATTTGGCAACAAATTGAAACAGAGATAAACAAAACAGAATCGCACTTTTTAGTGATAAAAAAGGTTAAGCCACTGTTATCAAATTTTTAGAAGAATAAAAGTTTTTTTAATTGAAAAAGGTTTCGCAATTTCTGTTTAGGCCCCAGAATTGCACCTTTTTCCTAATTATTTTTTGACTAAATGCTTAATCACAAGCAAACAATCAATGTTATTATTGGTGCGAAGTTTTGGTTATTATATTAATCTGTACTTTATTTCATTAATTAGATATATTTTTTTAATAATCTTGTGTAATTTTTTAAATTCTATAAACGAAAATATAAAAATCGATACTTATCAAACAATTAGAATCTTTTAATTTGAAAAGAAAAATTAAATAAGAAAGTTTTTTAATTATAGTAAAAATTTGTATGTAATACATGAAAATTAAGTTCTTGAAATGCCCTGGCAAAAAGTAAACCAAGTTTCAGCAATTTCTGACCACTGTGCAGTGTAAAGTTAAAAAGTTTCAATTTTTTATTAGATTTATTTTAACAAGCGTGATTATGAATGCTCTTAAATAAAAAATATAAATTAAATTGGAAAAAAATAGTTTTAATTACAGTAAAAATTTGTATGTAATGACTGAAAGTCATTCGATTATACTCGTATTTTAACAAAAATGTAAATTTAATTTCTCAGTTGAATAAAAAAATTATGTAAACATATGTTTTTAATTGTAATAAAAATTTGCCTGTACTCGTAATACAACAAAATTATCAGGGTGTATCAGAAATACATGTGTTAATTTTAACATGTAACACATCTCGATAAATAATAGGTACATTTTTTCTATTTGTAATTTTTCAATAAAAGCTTTCAAATTTGATTTAAAATTTGAAAAAGATAACATATCAAAACGTATACCCGCCTATGGGTATCAACTTAAAAATTCCGAAATATTTTCGTTGTGATAGAAACGGAACTACATTTTGTGATTACTTATTAATTGAACGGTTCGTTTAGACAAAATTATGGGGGAAAACAATAAAAACAGTTAATAAGAATTTTGCAAAATGTTTTACTTGGTGAGTTCTTTCATGTTAAAAAAAAATAAAATTAACACACGTATTTCTGATAACCCTGTTTTCTTTAAATACTCCCATTAAAAAGTAAAACTGAATTCAGCGGATTTTACACTTCCGATTTTTTTTTATTGTTTTAACAAAAGTGTAATTTTAAACGCTTTGTGGTAAAAAATTGTATGTAATACATGAAATATATTGATGCAAAAATAAACCAGGTTTTAGCGATTTTTGTCTACTCCGTAGTGTAAATTGGACAAGAACAGTTCCATCTTTTTATTAGATATATTTTAGCAAGTGTGATTTTAAATGTTTTTACATAAAAAAATGTAAACTATATAAAAAAAGACTTTTAATTGTAGTAAAAATTTGTATGTAAAGCACGAAAATTATATTTTAACAGAAGTGTAATTTTAAACACTTCTTAGGTAAAAAAATATATACCTACAAATCTGTTTTTAGTAATATAACAAAATTAATTAATTATAACAAAATATAATTAATTTATATTCTTTAAATAAAAAAAGTCCCAATTTTTGATTATACAGGGTGCGCCAGAACTCGTGCCACAGAGAAAAATGCCATGTAAGGTGAGATATCAGGAACATAGAAAAAATGGTAAAAAAAATAAAAATTTAGAAGTTATGAAAATTAAAATTTTTTATTTATTTTTGTTGGAAAAATAAATTTGCAAGTTTTTTTGCTACAGGCTATTAGAAGAGGAAATAAGGAAGTTGTATCTTAAATTGTAACTCTGTTTAAAGTTATTTATCGCTTGTAGTGGCAAATTTTTTGTACTTTTACCTTTACTAATTTTTTAAACATTTTGTCATGTTTTTGGTACCTTATCTTACTTGAAGTTTTTCTCTGGAGCGCGAGTTCCGACGCACCCTGTATTTTAAGAAATGTTTAACAAAAAATTGAACGCTACTTTATAAATGTAAATGCTTTTTTATTATGTAGCAAAAATTTGTACGTAACAGGTGCAAATTATATCCTTTAAACACTGTATCAAAAAGTAGAGCAGGTTTCAGCAGATTTTGTCAACTACCAAATGTAAATTCCGTAACCTTGACTGATTTGAATTCTGACTGTTGTCAAAAAGTGAGGTTTTATATTTCGTAAGCCGTTTTGCCCTTGAAATACTTTAAGTTTTATCTCATTTATTCCTTTTAATGTTTAAACTATGATTTTTCGATTGATGTCACATTGTAGTGAAAAACAGCGAATGTTCGAAAAACCGAAAAATAATTACTTTACCAACTTGCTTGATTTTTACTGTACGCTGTGGCGAAATAACAGTTAGTGTTGTGGCGCGCTTTCTGAAAGTTTGTATTAAAATTTAATTCAATCAAGCATGTAAAAAACAATAGAAAAAAATAACAATTTTGAAAAAAGGCGTTTATCAGTTTTTTCATTGCTTGTCAAAATAATGTCATTATTAGTATCGCCAACCAATTATAAAAAAAATCCGATTCCAAAAATCTATAGGTAAGTACGCCACTGCGTTTCGAAACAATGTCAGAATTACCAACCCCACAATGTCTTCACCTCAAATTTTCGCAGACGTGCCAACCCCAGTTGGCCAAAATCCCACACTTAATCACATTAAACGCCACTTCCTTACCCGAATTAACTGTTAACCGCATAGTCAAACGTCTTAATTACTTTAACACATGACTAATTAACGTAAATTATCACAAAGCAAACAAAATGAAGAAAATTCAAGTTGGGATTTGGATACAATGTTTCAACAATGAGTCAAAATTGTAAATTGTGCATAATAATCCTCATTTGGCGAGGAAATGAATCATACTAACCAACTGAAACTCCCTTCTCCGATCGAAAGCCCTTAAAATGCCGCTGTCCCGCCACAGCTTCACCAGCAAAGGGCAATACTGGATGAACGTCCTGGAGTCCAGCACCGAGCCGTTGAACTGCAGAAGCTCCTTGCCGAGGGCGGCGTTCGAGGTGTCCCCCCACGGAATGCCCAGCTTGTCTCTGGCGTCCACCAGCACGCGCATCCCCTTGATGACGTTCTGGTAGATGATCTGCTGGTATTCCATCAGCATTTCGCTCTCGAATTTGACTCCGTGGATGATTTTCATCTGCTTGAGAAAAGTCGACTTGCCACTCTCCCCAGCGCCCAATAACAGCAGCTTGACTTGCCGTTTGAGGGCCTGCTTGTCCTTCTCGAGCATCTTGTCGATCTCCAATGACTTGTACCGCTGCTCGATCTCTTCGGGGCTGAATTTGAACCGTAAACAACACGGACAGGACCACATTAAAGTGGACATTTTTAATAAAACACCACAACTAGTCCACTACATAGCTGTGCGGTGGAAATGACTGAATGGTTGGTACGCCTGCGCACTAAATGTCAAAGGCGGTGACAGTGGCGTCTCGAAGAGTTTTCAGGGGGTTTCGACTGATAAGAGGTGAGTGCGATTGCGATTTGAGGGTACAGATAATAATAGAAGACTATTTTTCGGGTTCAAAGAACCGACACAGGGCGCCAAAAGATCACCTAAATAACAATTACATCACAGACGAGTCATTTATTTTAATCAAGCAGCCTACTAAACTCAGCTTCCGGAGTGTTAGTCATTAAAATGATATTAACTAAATTCCTCTCATTTGTCCGCAAATTTTCCCCAGTTCTAATCAGAATTTTAAAAAATATATGTTTTATTTGGTTTTTGGCTGAGGCTTTTGCGGACCGCAGACTAAACACATGAATTTGCCAAAATGGCGTCCAGATTTAGTTGTGAAAGTGAGACACAAAAATGTACAAATTGGGTCAAGGTCACACGTTGAATTGCCGCCAGTTCAAATAGTTTCTTGATATGTCTAAAGTTATTTATACAGGGTGCGCCAGAACTCGCGCCCCAGAGAAAAATGCCATATAAGGTAAGATACTAGGAACATGGAAAAAATGATTAAAAAATTTTATCTATAAAAATTTCGAAGTTATAAGGGTTTAAAGTTTGCACTTTGACTCTATTGTATCCTAAATTGTAACTCTGTTCAATGTTATTTGTTGCTTTTATGGGCAAAATTTTTGTCCTTTTACTAAATAATTGTAAAAAAATATATACAAGATTATCAGTATCCTTAAATAGATATAAAAAAATGTCAAATGTCAAAAAATAAATGTCAAAATTTTTTGACAGATAGAATTTTTTAAACATTTTTTTCATGTTCCTGGTATCTTACCTTACTTGAAAATTTTCTCTGGGGCGCGAGTTCTGGCGCACCCTGTATATCAAAGAAATAAAAAATTAATTTAATCCCGAGAATGGAGGTAATGCGAGAGGCGACCGAAAGTAACCGAGGGCATATTCACTCAAAACTATAATAATAATTTTTCAAATAATGTCAAAATATTCAGTTTGATTTTATTTATTATATTCTCAATTATTAGCCAAAAACGTAGGAATAAAACGTCACTTTATTCCCTGTTGGAAGGAAAAAAATTAAAAACTTGCATATAACACTGTTTTGGACTAAAAACTTGATTTTTAAGCTCAAAATTTTTATTTTTTTTATTCTTCTAATTACCGTTTTACTTTGAAACACCCATTTTTAACTGTGAATTTTAACTATTGAAGTTCGAAAACCCAATTTTGATAGCGGAAGTTGAAGGAGTTGATATTTTTAATTGCAAAGTTTATAAAAACTCAGAATTTCAATTTTCAGATTTTATAACTAAACATAGTGAGATTTAAATCTAAATCTAGAAAATTATAATATAATAATTGACTTTTATGCACAGAATTTGGATTTATGAACTAGAAATTCCAATTTAAAATATAGGAATTTGACTTTTAAATTCGAAATTCTTAATTAGGATGTCGGAATTTTAGCATTAAAAACTGAAATTTAAATTATAAAATTTTAAAAAATGTAACTGAAATTCGAAATTTTTACTTTAAATGGCAAATTTTGGATTACTACCGGGTGACTGTAAAAGATTGTGATTTTTAACCTCAAGTTGTCATTCATTTGCAACGGACTGGTCACTTGAACATTCTGATACATCAAAATACCGTGTGATCAAAAAAATAGAGTATGCGGTGATTAAAGTCCTTCAAATGTCAGCGGAAACTTTGACAAGTTTGCGTTTTATTCATTTTGAGTTAAATAATGTTCACTTTAAAGCAGAATTTTTTTATTGTTGCAAGTTATTACAAAAATGCTGTAGGTACAAGACGAAAACGGTGAATGGTCATTTTCACTTTGTGTGGAAAATTTCCACCCCAGATTCCTAGCCAATGTGTTGCCAACTGTAGAATTTAATCAACGCCTACTGTAATTTTTTTTTGATCGCACGGTAGAAGGATCGACAGTGTTGCCAATAGATTTTTTTGTCACAAACATTAATAGTCACTCGTTATAAAAACTAGACGTTCCATGAATGAAAATTTTGACATTTAAATCGAAACTCTGACATGAATCAACAATGTTGGTGTTTATTTACTGAACTAAACCTCCGCCACTGGAATCACCAATAAAATTGAAAAAACTTTTTTTATTTTCCGCATTTATTTATCAAATTTGCAGTGTGCTAAATGCTAATACAGTCATGAATAATTACTTACACAAAAGGTATTATTATTATCAGTATGATTTTGTTTGAAAACCGCAGAATTAAAGTAAAATTCCTTTTGTCAAAATAAAAAATGACCAAATCCCCAATTTGTTTACATTAAAATTTTTGTTGCTCGCAACTATAATAAATTCCATTAATTTTCATAAATAGATCCGCTTTTTAGTTGATTTTTCATGCAATTTGCATCGTGCGGACCGCAGACTAAACACACTTTCTAATCTGGAACACGTCAAAACAAGTGCCTAAATTCCACAGTTGACTCAGAAAAATCACTGGCCCTAATAAACCCATCAAAAACAAACCCCAGGGTGCAAAATATTTATCTAAACAAGTAAAATTATAGCTTGGACACGAGTATCCAGCAGCGCTTTGACCACAAACAAGACCATTAGCTGAGTTATCGTTTATTTTCCCTTAAATACTGGTATTTTTGATCACTGCAAAAATCGAATATGAAGTTCGGAGAATCTGGAATCGAAATTTTGTAACATGCGTGGCAGAAAGTGGCCAAGGGGGCTCACATAAACGAAAGTTTGTAATGTCAAAGGTGCGAATTTCCCCACAGTCATATAAATCGGTTTCTGCATTCGAGTCATTGTGAAAATCATGTTTTTCTTGAACGATAAGTCGCAGTCGTACCATTCGGCCTTCCAGACGTTCACAGGAACCTCACTTGCCTAAAAACTAACCTAATTTTTCGGGTTTTGGTACTGGGGGTGGTACCATTAGAGTCACTTCGTTACCAAACCAACAATAGAGGTACAATTGGAAACCCATGGCTACCATGTAGACCAATTCGGCGTAAAACTGCTTACTACTAGCCGGGGTCTAAAATTTTAGGTTAGTAAAAATTATTTTTTTTTTTGGTACTACCGTAGAAATTAAATACAAAGAGGTGCAAAGTATGAATAGAGTTGCGGTTAGTTGCCCCAAAGTCAAGTACCTGTGCACCCTCTCAAGGTCCTCGGAGACCCTGAAAAACAGTTAAAATTGTTGAATTTCGGCCGAATTTCTACCTGAGGATTGTCTGCAAGTGTCGGCAATTCTTTTTCATCTCTTTGTTCATGTCCAAAACCCGCATTTTACTGCTTGCGAAAGCCCCTTGCAAAATGACAAAATGGGCGGCTATAAAATTCATAATGTTCATAAAAAGTGTATCCATTCCGACTATACTGTAGGCGTAGGAGAACATGGGGCCGGCTTGGTACCCCAGGGCTAGCAAATACGTCCCTGGGGTGGAGTACGAGAAGGGCATCCAGCTAAAATAGGGCAGTTTCTGGTAGAAAGGGCTGACGGTACCGTTTTGGTAAGGTGGCGGGTTCAGAACCACTGTGAGAAAAGGGGGGATGTAGGACGAGGAGAGGGTCATGTGGGCGAGGGTTAGGAACCCAAGGGAGTACTTGAACCCAATCCGGCGGTACTTTCGCCAAATTTGGCCAGGTTGGAAGCCCCCACAAGCCTCATAGTGGAATTCGGGGCTTTCCAAGGTCCCCATCAAGTCCCTCAAGACGTGGCCTTTGAAAAACCAGAAAATCACCTTAACAGCCCCCATGAAATGTGTCAAAAAAAAGTTGACGTTCTTGATGAAGTTGTACAAGTTTTTATGGGTGTAAAAGAGGCTCAGGAACTCCGTCGAGGTGAAATACACGTTGACGAAGAGAAAAACAACAATTGCGTAAATTTTGTAAGGGATTTGTACTAATTTTGCATCAGTGCTTGGTTTCCAAAGACCAGCACAACGCAAAATCCACCGATTGACCACAAACACGTCTTTGACGTACTCGTCGGACATTTTGACTGGTTTTTGGCCCCCTTTTCCGGCTTTTATACCAACACGGGTGTGAATAATTGAGGTGTCGAGGCTTGTAATTTCACGTTTTAATATTTGAACCGAAATTATTGCTTCTGGACGAGGAGTTTTTCAAGGACGAAGCTAGTCTGGGTCTGGAGATCCTGTTTCTGGATTTGTTCGGGATTTTTCGGTTTTAGAACAAGGATTGGGTCTTCCAGGATTTTGAAATTTTGCCCAACGTTGCTTTTCTCGATACTGTCGGCGTTTACAAGCTTTGTGACGTTTGGGGACTCGTCGATGGCGTTTTTGATTGATTCAAGAGTCGATCGACGCATTTGCTTTTGCTGGAATACCAAAATTGTGAAAATTGGGGGATTTGGGGGCACGTACAGGGATTGACAAGTCTAAATCCTTGATAGTTGAGGATCTGCGACGCTCTTTATTTACAACAGGGGGCTCCTGTAATAGTTTTTGGAAAGAGTTGACACAATTGTGAGATAATTACTGGGACGTTTTGGGCATAATTGCGGATTTTTTGCCTCATTCGTTCCATTCCTCTATCTGCATTTTGATTTTGGTTTGATTCCGTCTCGGGTGTTTTATCCGTTTTATCCGAAGTGACAGAAGAGTTTGACGATGATGGGATTTTTTTGGCGGGTAATTCAATCTTGTCGGGGTTTTCCAAACTGGACCGTATAGTGGAATTGGGGATTGACACACCGGACAAAAATCGCGAGTTTCGGCGCTCGTTGATTGACCCGCGGGGCGACTTTTGATTCTCACTCTAAAATTCTCAATTTTTAACAATCTTGTGGTTCATGGCCAAAATTACGTTTTTTTGTTTCCTGGCCATGACTCTAGTCGTAATGCCTTTATTGTACAGTTGCTCATTTTGTAATGTGGGACTTGGGATATTATTGATGGGATGAAAATGTGACATTGTGAATTTTGACGTGACCCCTAACCCGGCCCAGTGATACGCCACTGGTGCACACACCGTGAAATGAACTCATGTTTACCGCATTGTAATTTGTTCTATTATCATAAAAGGAGCATAAATTACAGACTTGTACCGGTTTATTATTCATTTTCAAAGAGAATAATTTATTAAAAAATTTAATAACTGTTTATTGTCGGTAATTTTGACTTTTTATGGTTGGTATGAGTGACAAAAAAATGAGGTTGGGTTAAATAAATAGACGTAATTAAAAAAAAATTAAAACAGCGTTGTAATGTAACACATTGACAAATATTTCCTGTTTCGATTTAAAGTTACTTAAAAAGAACATAAAATGTTTAGTGCGCTTCGACGGTCGGTGAAATTAGTGAGGTTAGGTGCTTTTGTGCGTGTCTCATGCCCGCCCCCACGCTCATTTTTTTGTACCGAATCGGCCGCTCAAGGCCCGAGTATTGAAGCACTCACAAACGGTGATAAGGAATTGGAACACAAATTAAAAGTTTTAATTTTGGAAGTTGATGTCATGAGACAGGAAGGTAAATTAGTCCCTGATGATGATTTCCTTAAAGACAAACATTGGAAGGAACTTCTCGAATTGCCCACTTATTCGGCGAGGAAGCGGTTTTTGGAATATCTATTCAAAATATCAAAGAAGAAGGAAAACAGACTGGTACACTACTTTTTCTCTAGTAGCAATAATCAAAATTGCGTTTTTAGATCAAAAAAGAAGAAAAAAAGCAGTTCCGTGGGTCTAAACCAGAAAAGAACGAAAATGAAACATTGGAAGAATTCGTTTCTACTTATGATTTGAGCCACAATAATATTTTTTTGCGAGTCTATGAAACCACAATTAACCAATTATACAATAATAGGTTGGTTCAAGCGATGCAATTTGGGCAAAAACTGGTCGTGGATTGTGGCTACGATCAGGATATGACAGTCAGAGAGAACAAAAATTGTGCCAAACAACTGACTTTGTTGTTTGCTGAAAACAGGGCTCATGATGGTAACTCTGCAAAAAATTGCAACAAGAACTTTAATTTTAGTTTCAGATCCTTTTGATTTACACTACTGCAATCTGAACACTGATAGCGTCCTTCACAAAACCCTGGAAAACAACATAGCCACACTCCACGAACCTTGGTTCCCACTCAACGTCCACGAAACTAGTTACTTGGAAAAATTCCCCAAGGAACAACTAGTCTACTTAACCCCCCATTGCCGTGAAGAACTCGTGGAATACGACCACGATGCGATCTACATTATCGGCGCAATTGTCGATAAGGTCAATACACAGCCCTTATCCTTGGCTAAAGCCAAGCGTGAAGGGTTAAAAATGGCAAAATTCCCCCTAGACCGGTACCTCCAGTGGGGCGGCGGCTCTGGCAAAAGCCTCACTTTGAACCAATGCGTCTCAATCCTCCTAGACGTCAAACTGACCGGCGATTGGAAATACGCCCTGAGACACGTCCCCAAACGCAAAATTATGCAAATTGCAGAACAAAAAACCCTCAAGAGCAAATTCTGGAAGCCGGGAAAGAAGGTCGACTTGAGTAATCTTAGTCACAAAAATAAGGATAGGAGAATAGAAATAAGGAGTATCATGTACGATGAAAATTAATTAGAAAAAAGTAAATTATTATTTTTTATTTACACTTAATTACGCCTCCTTCTCACTCGCGATATTCGCCAAGCGTTAGGTTCCTCATATTTGTTATAAAGTGGCTCCAGACGTTGATTCTTCTTAAATTTGCTCAGTTTTGTCGGATCTGAGAATTTGAAGAAGGCGGGGGCGAACTCCACGAGCCACTTTGGGTCGATTGTGGTCACCTCGCGCATGTATTCTTTCGTGGTTTGCACCAATTCGTGATAAATCACCCTTAAAATACACAATGAGCCAAAAAATAGAATTTTTTTTTATTGCAACTTACCACTCTGGTTGTCTGTTGAAGAGGGCGCTTGAGGGGTGTATGTACACCACTTGGCTGTCCACCAGCGTCCTGTACCCCTCCTGGGGGTCCTTTTTCGCCGCATTCCTGAAAAACCCCGAACATACACACTTTTGCACCCTCACTGTATTTCTTTCAGCCGATACGACATCCAACTTGTGCCTATCCATGATCCCTAGCAATTGTTTTCGGACATCTTGTGCCCGTTTCAACGTCCTTATTTGCACGAAATTCTCGTAACACCACGCATTCGAAAACTTATTATTTTTCCAACTGTTGTAAACGGCCAAAAGTGTCAAATGGTCGCCTTCTGGTTGGTTGAATTTGGCTTTTTTCTGATCGGCAATTGCTTGTTTGTCTTTAGGACGATAAAAGACGTTTTGGACTGACAACATGCTGACGATTGTCAAAATCTCGTCGGAACATTGAAGAGCGACGGACATAATCAGCATTTTTGATAAATTGGGCTCGAGTGGAAACTCAGCCATCTATAAAAAAATCCATTAAAAAACCGAAATATTTCTATTCAAGGGGTCGTTAACTTGTGTACAACTAATTGCAATTCCAAAAAAATTCCACCGAAATTGTAATAATCCAAAATAATTATCGTAATTTTATTGTTTTCAGATTAATTCCTATAATTCCAAATAACATCCTGTACTTCCAACTTAATTTCCGTAGAAGATTAATTTTTGTAATTTCAAAATAATTTCTGCAATTCCAAATTAATTCCAGCAGTTCTAAGAAAGTCAACGTAATTTTCAAAAAAAAATTATTTCTGATATTTTATAAAGAATTCCAGTAATTTCAGAAAACTTGTATTAATTCTACCGAAATTCCAATTAATTATCGTAATTTTATTGTGTTCAGATTAATGTTTATAATTACAAATTATAATTCCAACTGTTTAGTTTTAATTTTTTTTAACTCCAACTTAATTTTTGTAATTTCAAAATAATTCCTGTAATTCCAAATTAATTCCCACAGTTCTAAGAAATTCAACGTAATTAAAAAAAATATCCGATAATTCCAAAAAGAATTCCAGTAATTTTAAAAAACTTGTATTAATTCTACCGAAATTCCAATTAATTATCGTAATTCTATTAATTGTGATTAATGATTATAATTACAAATTAATTCCTGTAATGTCAACTTAATTCCCGTAATTCCAAAATAATTTCTGTAGTTCCAATTTATTCCCATAGTTCTAAAAAATTCGACGTAATTTTCAAAAGATATAATCTCCGATAATTCCAAAAAAAAAACAGAAATTCTAGAAAAATTCCAAACAATCCAAATATTGTTTTTTAGTTTTAATATATTATTTTTAATTATAAAAATAATTCCGGCAGTTCTAAGAAATTCAACGTAATTTTCAAAAAAAAATATCTCTTGACAATTCCAAGACGAATTCCAGTAATTTCAGAAAACTTGTATTAATTCTACCGAAATTTCAATTATTTATCGTAATTCTATTAATTGTATTCAGATTAATGCTTATAACTTAAATTAATTCCTGTAATGTCAACTTAATTCCTGTAATTCCAAATTAATTTTCGTTATTCCAAAATAATTTCTTTAATTTCAAATTAATTCCGATAGTTCTAAAAAATTCAACGTATTTTCAAAAAATATAATCTCCGATAATTAAAAAAAAAATCCAGAAATTCTAGAAAAATTCCAAACAATCCAAAGATTGTTTTTTAGTTTTAATTTTTTTTAACTCCAACTTAATTTTTGTAATTTCAAAATAATTCCTGTAATCCCAAATTAATTCCGACAGTTTTAAGAAATTCAACGTAATTAAAAAAATATCCGATAATTCCAAAAAGAATTCCAGTAATTTTGGAAAACTTGTATTAATTCTACCGAAATTCCAATTAATTATCGTAATTCTATTAATTGTGTTCAGATTAATGCTTATAATTACAAATTAATTCCTGTAATGTCAACTTAATTCCCGTAATTCCATAATAATTTTCGTAATTTCAAAATAAATTTTGTAATCCCAAATTTATTCCGAGAGTTCTACAAAATTCAACGTAATTTTCAAAAGATATAATCTCCGATAATTCCAAAAAAAATCCAGAAATTCTACAAAAATTCCAAACAATCCAAATATTGTGTTTTAGTTTTAATATTTTTGTTAATTCCAACTTAATTTTTGTAATTTCAAAATAACTCCTGTAATTCCAAATTAATTCCGGCAGTTCTAACAAATTCAACGTAATTAAAAACTATCTCCGATAATTCCAAAAAGAATTCCATTAATTTCAGAAAACTTGTATTAATTTTACCGAAATTCAAATTATTTATCGTAATTCTGTTAACTGTGTTCAGATTAATGCTTATAATTACAAATTAATTCCTGTAATGTCAACTTAATTCCCGTAATTCCAAAATAATTTATGTAGTTCCAATTTATTCCGATAGTTCTAAAAAATTCGACGTAATTTTCAAAAGATATAATCTCCGATAATTCCAAAAAAAAAACTGAAATTCTAGAAAAATTCCAAACAATCCAAAGATTGTTTCTAAGATATAATATATTTTTTAATTCCAACTTAATTTTTGTAATTTCAAAATAATTCCTGTAATTCAAAATTAATTCCGGCAGTTCTAACAAATTCAACGTAATTTTCAAAAGATATAATCTTCGATAATTCTAAAAAAAATTCCTGAAATTTACAAATATTCCAAACCATCCTAAAATTGTTTTTTAGTTTAAATATTTTTTTTATTTTCTTTTTAAATTTTAATAATTTTAAGTATGTATAATATAATTCCGATTATATTCCAAAAATTTGTACAACTAATTCCAGAGTTAACGGCCCCTCGTTTCGATTTTAGACTCACCCTCCGCCCCAAACGCGTGAGAAGCCCCTCATCGTCCAATGCCGACAGCGAATGCAACTGCTCCAAGGCCATAATTAGCGATTCGACAGGCGGCGCATCCATAAAATCAAAATGCAACAAATCGTTGATCCCCATCGTCTTCAACTGCAACACAGTCGTGGCCAAATTAGTCCTTTGTATCTCCGGAACTGGAGTAGGCAGCATCTCATCCCGATACGCCCTCTCTGTGTACAACCTATAGCATTTCCCGGGCCCCGTCCGTCCAGCACGCCCCGCCCTTTGCTTGGCTTGTGCCTGCGAAATGGGCGTGACCACCAACGAGTCCATCCCCGTTTTCGAATTGTACACTTTTTGTTTCACGAATCCGGGATCTACGACGTAAAAAATCCCATCAATGGTCAACGAAGTCTCCGCTATATTCGTCGCGATGACAACCTTCCGGCTTCCGGGCGGCGCCGGTTCAAAAATCCGGGTCTGCATCTCGGATGGCAGCGCCGAATATACCGGAAGTATAATCAATTCGGGGACATCCGGTCCCAACGACTTCATTCTTTCGTATAAAATCTCACAAGCCGTGTCGATTTCCTCCTGACCAGTCAAAAACAATAAAATATCGCCGGGGGGCTCACGTAGGTGGATTTGCATCACGGTGATTAGACTCGCGTCCAAATAGTCGGTTTCGGGCTCTTTCGTGTAAAGAACTTCAACCGGGAATGTACGACCTGGAATTGTGAAAATTGGAGCTTCGAAGAAGTATTGTGAGAATTTAACAGCGTCGAGAGTTGCCGAAGTGACGATTAGTTTGAGTTCGGGACGTTTCGTGACGGCTTGTTTGAGGAGGCCGAAAAGGACGTCAGTGTGAATAGTGCGTTCGTGGGCCTCGTCTAACATTATCACCGAGTAGGCTTTGAGGTCCAAGTCCATGAGACACTCACGAAGTAACATACCGTCTGTCATGTATCTAGAAAATTGGTGATTATTTTGTTTAGTCTGCGGTCCGCGTCATACTTACTTGATGATTGTTTCCGGGCTTGTGCAGTCCTCAAACCGGATTGTGTACCCCACTTCCTGTCCCAATCTACATCCAAACTCCTCCGCTACCCTCTTCGCCACCGACATGGCAGCCACCCTCCTCGGTTGCGTACACCCAATCTTCCCCCTAGCTGTAAACCCACTCTCGGCCAAATACTGAGTAATTTGGGTCGTTTTCCCCGACCCTGTCTCACCAATCACGATCAAAATCTGATTATCGGTCACGGCCTTCCTCAACTCCTCCTTCAACTTATAAATGGGGAGGCTCTGTCTTTGCTCCAAAATACTCAAATTAGTTTTTTTCCCAAACGAAGATTTTTTCCCCCCAATCACGTGTTTCTTCCATTCGGGTAAATCCTGGGATTGCAAACCGATCCCTCGCGCCGAATTCGTTTTATTCTCATCTTCGGGGAGTGGATCAATCCAGTTTTTGTTTTTTCCGGACGGTTGCGAGTCCATTTCCTGTTCTCGTTGAAGCATTTTTTGCTCGCGACGTTCTTTAGCCAACGCCGATTGCATCATTGCAGCTTGGGCTAAAGACCCATCGGGGTTTTTCACAATTCGAACGGGACTCAAATCGTGGAGGGCCCTCCCGTGACCTTGCAGGAAAGGAGGTTCGTCCTCAACGAGCTCGATTTCGATGTCGGCCTCGCCGTCTTCATCCTTGGGTAAAAGTCCGGTTTCGTCGTCGAAATCCGGCAATTCACTCTTGTCGATACATCCCGAGGAAATCATTTGTTTGATTTCCCAGCGTTCCGGACTCGAAATCCGGGTCACGCGTTTCCGGGAGTTTTCCTCGTTTTCATCGATGCCGACAGGAAGACGCAAAACGGAAGTTCCGGTGTTCATGGGACGATCTGGGTTCCGGTCTTTGTCTTCACGTTCGGTAGGAGCGTGAGAGAGGGGATTGAGGTCTTTTCCGGTCACCTGATCAACATCTTTCATTGATAAGGAGACTTTTTGACCGGTCACTGATAAAACTTTGATTTTGACTTTCATTCCACGTGAAACGACTTCAGAAACGTTTGTAACTCGCCCTTCAGCCCTTAATTGGGAAATGTGGACTAGACCCTCCCAACGACGGCGCAAACCTTCCAACTGGACAAAACAACCAAAAGGGACAATATTTGCGACTTTTCCTGTATAAATCTGTAAAAAAAATAAATTTGAATAAAGTCTAGTGTAGTGAAAAAAATACTTTTCCAGGGATTGGATCCTCATCCAATTCTGGGCTTTCCCGCTTGATTTTCCTGTCCCTCCTTCTTGGGGAAACACTTCTACTCCTACTTCTCCTCCTACGTGACCTACTCCGACTCCGACGCCTTCTCCCGGACCTCTCCCTCGACCTCCGTCTCCTATCCCTAGACCTGGACCTCTCCCTCCTCCTACGCTTCCGCTCCGGACTCCTACTCCTCTCCCTCTTTTCCTTCGTTTCATTTTTGGCCTGTGAGGGGGCATCAGCCTCCAACTGGGCCATTAAATCGGCCACAATATCCTCATCCTCCCCCTTGGTCTCAACCTCCGGCGTGGGGGGCTTCTGAGGCTCATTCGGCAAAGCCAAACCCGGGAATTTCGCCGCTAAAGAATCCTGTTCATGACTCGAGTTCACTTTACTCGTCTGATTTGTCTTTTTGGGGCGCATGTGTTGGATAATTCGGAGCAAATTTGACACGAAAGAGTCGGAAAATTCGGCGCCATTCTCAACCAGAACTTTCTTGAAACTATCCACAGTGTCGTGCTTCTCAGACAGGTGGATTATGTACTCGGCTGGAGAGAAAGGGGGTTAGTTGGGGCGAAATCACAAAATTGGGCTAAACAAACCTAAATCCTTGTCGTTCATCCCGAGATGGTTTTCCAATTCGGTACATACTTTAGACACGAGAGATAAATATTCAAGTTTCTCGACTTCGTTCATTTTTGGGCAAATAAGGACTAAAACGTTTGTTGTCTAAACTGTCAAAACTGACAATTGTCAAAAATACTGTCATCAGTAGACGCATGCGCAAAAGTGTGGTGAATTGCTGGTCACATAACGTTGTCACATAACTTTCAATTATTTGATTAAGTAAGTGTAATAATTACATTATTTTAATAAAAACGTTTTTATTTCATTTTTTTTTGTAATTCTAATAAATAAAAATTTTTATAAGACATTAAATAATCGTAATGTAATTATGATGTGTTTTATTGGTTGCCTAACACAACCCAAGTTTTAAAGTTTTTATAAATTATTTAATAATTTAATAACTTTATATAATTATTTGGGGTTTAGTTGGTGGTTGGTTTGAAAAAACAAGTATGACAGTGCAAGGAAAGTGATTTTTATGGTACTAAATCGAAATTATCTGTCAAGGGACGCAAAATCTGCTTAAGAAGGGAAACATTTTTAAATCTTGGCAAAGTATTTTTTTCTCTAGAGACGTAATAACCCACTTTCTGGCTTTTAATTTGTGAGAGAAATGGCGTAAATACGTAAATATTTTGCGAGGTATTGTAGTGTGGGCTTTTGTGGGGCTAAATTGCCTTAAAAGGGGCAAACAGCGATCTCGCTTTATCGTTTAAATTTGCTTTAGAGTAGTATTTCGGCGAAGTATTATGAGAGTGTGCGGATGTCAGCTCATATCCTCGAGCCAACAATAGTCCGAAATAGGCTGCAATCGGGGTATAGTCAAGTACTATTGTGATAAGGAGTGATAAGACAACAGTCCATTATACCAAGGGGGTGTCCGATATCAAGTCGGGGGAAGATTGAGGTGTCGAAAGGGCGCTAAGTAGTTCGCCAGCTGACGATTCATCCCCAAGGAAAAATCTCATTGTAATAACAACGGAAATATAACTTTGCAATTGAATTGCATTGTGCGTTTTGTTATTGTTGCACTCGATGCAATTTTCAGTTTTGCGGATGCGATGCAATTTCAAAATGGCAAAATTTGCGGTCGAAGGGGGTGGGGGATGGCAGATGTGGATCAAGACTTAGCGTCCAGGGCCGGAGTGGCCCTCCCAAGCCCCGTTTCGCTCCAAATAAAAGAATTGGGCCTTTGCTGCGTCCGGCCCTGTGGCTGGGGTTGCGCCCGGCAAATCCCGCCTTAATCCGTCCGGTAGATTAAGCAATTTGAATGTGTGATCAATGGGTTTGACAGTTGTGATGTAGGTCGAAAGAGATTAAAAGCTGGGATCAGATCGTTGGAAAAAAATCGATTTCTTAATCCAAAAACGGCCCCATATATGAATATTCCTCGACAAAGGCTCACTTAAAAAGGGTTCACTCTGTAAATTCTCGAAGCTTTGAGAAGTTAATGTGTAAAATTGGTCGGTAGTTCACAACCAGCTTAGTTAAATCTAGCGTAAGCTGCGAGACCTCCCGCATTCGGAAAAAAAGCTCTTAATTAATTAAAATGATCGAACATGTCGTCGAATTAGCGACGATGGATAAAGTAATTACAACGAGTTGATCCAAAGCACAGCAGCTTTGCGGCAAAGTTGACGTTGCCAGGATAAACTTTCACAAATCCCCTTGTGACGGCCAGACGCGACAAAAGTCCCGTTAATTCGTTAAAATAAAAGTTGGAAATTAAATCGCACGAGGAAAAATTGCCAGAGGTTTACGTGGGGTTTCGCTAATGCCTGCGAGTTAATTAAAAATAATCAAAAAAAAATGTATCACAGAAGCGAGTTTGGTCATTCTTTGTCGAGTGCATGGATGTCAGCACGGATCGATTACAAACAGTTTAAGAGCACAATTGATAATCCCGTGTTTGTTGACAGGACCGAGGCGGGTACCTGGTCGGACCCCACACGCCGAACACACCTTGGAGCGGACCATGGGTGAGATTGAGTGGCCAAAATGGGGCCAGACGGGATGAATAGGCGATTGTGTATTATACTTTCTGACAAATGAGCTTGCAAAATTTTTATATTGCCAAGAATAGGGAATTCAGACATTATTGACATGAAAAACAACATATCGGGGCGTGTTTTTCAATAGATTTTTTTAAAGAAATTACTTACTCTACCAATTATTGGTCAAATTTAGTAAACTTACTAAAGACGATAATTTATTGGTAGTTGATGATAATGAAGTGAGACGTTTCATTCATTTTCTTCTCTTCTAGACTTTTTCGAGGAAATCTCTTTAAAATTTCATTTACATTTCCTATTTAAAATTTTCTTCGTTTTATTACCTCCCGAAATTGGTTTATTAGTGTTTTATCTAGCATTTCTGATAACATACCAGGTGAATAAAAAGTGTGAAACCAAATGTTTTTTTGCTTAAACTATTTATTTTTTGAAAAAACTAATTGATGAATTATAAAGTACCTACCATAAAAATGTGATGTTTTTTTTTGAAATTTTCTTTTGTTTTTGAGTTCTACAAAAATTTTTATTTTTTTAAAATAGCAACCTACTATAAAACCATTTTTTAATGAAAGTTATGATCAAAGGACTACAACTATCTGCTTTATAGTTAATTTAAAAAAAAAATTACATAAATTGCAATTTTGACAAAAAAATCGCATACATAACTCAAAAAAAACTCAAAATACGATCACATTTTCTGTTACTTTAATTTATATTAATTATTATTTTCTGGAGGCAAATTATTAAAAAAAAACGCTTGGTTCCATACTTTATTATTCACCCTATATTTGTATTTTTGTTAATAATAGTAATAATCTCCATTGACCTGTAATGTCTAAGGAAATAAATTTAGTTTTTTTTTTTCACTTTGCTTCAATTTTTGTTTCGCCTAAGGGGATTTCTATGATACCACTTTGTTTTTCAATTTATTTCAATAAATTCAATTTAATAAAATCTACCTAAAAAAGTTCTTCCGAGGAAAATTGATTTTTTAATTTTTTTTTGTCTCTACCGAAGTAACTTCTTTAGTAGGTATTTATATCGTATAGTGTGTAAATATGAGGACAAAGTGTAACATGAGATTCCTCAGGTCAAAATAAAGCGATTTAACCCAATTTACTTTTATACCAAGTAGAACCGTTTCAAAGTTAGAGGACGCCAATGAAATTTTGAGGTTTTTTGTTTAAATCAATAATAATTAATTGTATATTAATTGTTAAAGAAGCTGAAACCTATTTTAAATTTAGAAACAATAATAATAAAAGGCCAATGACCAAAATTTTGACACGTCCACTAAAATATTTTTTTTACTCTAAAACCTAGGTTGATACAAAAATTTTAAAAGAAACGAAAATTCTTTAAAAATAATGTACAGTTGCGAAATTAAAATTTTGGGTAGTATTTTTCTGTCACGTTAAAAAGTTTACTGTAAACTACCCTTTACTGTCATCATGACTGACATTTGACAATTAAACTTTTTTTTGTTGTTATGCCACAAATCACTATTTTTGAAAGTAAATAAGTCAAAATGACATAAACATGACAAGAGTCAAAAATGAGGTTTTTAAGTAAGGGTTGTTTTAGAGTTTACATTATGAAAATGACAATTCTGCTCGAAATTTTAATTTTGTAACTGTTGTACCTTTCGAATAGAAAAAGAAATTCGCCACTCGGATTTCGTATAACAAAATTTTAAAGATTACTAGTATAATTCAATAGACATAAAAAAATGTCAAATGTCAAAAAATTAAAGTCCAAATTTTTTGACATATAGAATTTTTTAAACATTTTTTTCTCATACCTATTTTTTACCTTCCGAACTGAATTTTTGAAGTAAACTTCTACTTTAGGTACTTATTTGTTAAGCCGTAGTTTTTAGAACAAAAATTTATTTGTGCTATATCAATTCTCTTTCATATTTTACTTAACTTTCCCACAGAAATGTCTAAGTTTTCGCCAATATTTTTGTCTCAATGTCCAAAAAAGCTCTTTAACACTTTTCCAACATATTCTGTACTGTAACGGTTTTAAATAACTCTCTATGAACTGGAATTTTTCAGGAAAATCTTTCTTATTTTTAGTCCGTTTCTAAGAACAGTTCATTTGGTATCTTTAATGTTTCAAGTTTTTAATTTTTTTTTCTGAAACATTTATTTGTTGTTGTTTATTTGTTCTTGTTTTTTAAGAATTCTATTGAATTTAATTGAAAACTTTTTCATATTATTTGCATTTCATCCCAGTTTTTTGATTTTTAGTTTTTTGTAATTGCACCAAAAAGGGGCTTTTTACTTTTTTTATAGGCAAGTATATTTTTTTATTGTGTATATTTTATTAAATTATAGGAAAATAGATTGGAAACTATTCTTTTTTACTTAAAATTTTTTGAATTTTTTTGTTCTTAACACTATTTCTACGTTTTTATAATTTCAAATAATAAAATATGGAATCTATTGATCGTTTCAATTGTTCTCGTGTCATCCAGAAAAAGCTCTTTTGCAACATTTTATACTGCAACTGTTTGTAAACAACTTTCTTAGGAAAATCTTTTTATTTTTTCAAGTCCGTTTCTAAGAACACTTCATCTTTAATGTTTCAGTTTTTATTTTTTTCTGAAACATTGATTTGGCAGTTTGTGCAATTTTTTCATTTTTTTAACAATTTTGTTAAATTGGAATTTAAGACTTTTTCGTATTATTTGCCTTTGCATTGTTCTTTGTTTTTTATTTTTTTTAATCTTGCCAAAAAGGGTTTTTTACTTTTTTTTCCTTTTTATAGATGTATTTTTTCATTTTATTAATTTATACTATTTTAGTTTTGGGCAATTTATTCTTTTTACTAAAAATTTTTTGATTTTTTTGTTTCTATCTAACAAGAGACATCTAACTCTACATTCTAATAATTTTCAATATCTATTAGTCGCTTCAATTGTTCTCGTGTTATCGAAAGAAAGCTCTTTAAATAGCTTTCTTCGAGCTGGAATTTTTAGGAAAATCTTTTTATTTTTTTAAGTCTGTTTTTAAGGAAACTATTTTTTTCGAATGCATTTTACCACAGTTTCCTGATTTCAATTTTTTGTAATTTGTCTAAAAATGCGATGTTTTC